ATTTACAGCTCGATTTCCGGTCACGGCTTACTAACTAAATTACTGCAGATATAATGTGAGTGTCTGTGTGTGCTCCAGCGAGAAGGGGGCTCAGTCAGACCGGAGACACAGTGAGGTCAGAGGCTTTTTCTCTCAGGGTTTGGCACCGCTTTGCTCCTATTCTTGCCCTTTCTGCCCGTCAGTCCGAGCTCCCAAGAAGCTCCAATATTAATGCTCCCTTCAGTTTGTGTTTATGAGGCCGCCTGACGAGCAAGTCTTGTGTTTTATATTTTTTTTTTGTTTTTTGTAATTCTCTTGTTAGAGACGGGCCTGCAGCTGCCCAGCTGACAGCTGGCAAAAGCATTTTGGAGACTCAAACCTTGTGCGCAAAACTAGCCGCGACTATTTGGAAACAACTCCAGAACGCAGCCCGAATGATCCGGGAGGGCAATTCACTTACCCGTCGCTGAAACCCCCTGCATTTTTTTTCCACAAAGTTTCTCTCAGGTCCTCCCCTGCTGAAGTCGTCTCTCTCTCTCTCTCTTTCTTTTTTTTCCTCGGAGAAACTGGCAGCAACAGCGGCGGCTCCGGCGAACCGCGGACGAACAAAACTCTTCAGAGCGCTCCTCTTCTCCTCTTCGCCGACAAAAACTACCAGAGACACCGGGAACTCTCCATTGCGTCCCAATGTACGAAACAAAAATGTTATCCGGGTCAGATTTTGTGCAGAACTGGAGCCCTGTGCTCCTCCATGCAGCCCTTTCTCCTCCCCTCTCCTCCGGAGGCTGAACTCTCTCCTCTCCGTGCCGCTGGAAAAATGACTTGCGCGTTCCCGTCTGTGCGAGGCGCGAGCACGACAATCCCATTCATTTATATGCAGAAGCGAGACTTTGGAAAATAACATCAAAAAAACAGATAAAAGCTAAAAGTGTATCTTGTAGCATCATAAAATATAAAGTAAAGTGATTATGGTTAAAACAGCTATTTTTATTATTATTATTATTATTAATTAAGTCCTTTGATGCAGTGATCATTGAATGTGTCCCTCAAAATCTCAATTTGACATATCAAAAAAAATGTATTATTAAAAAGAGCAGAACATTTTAATATATCAAATGTTGAAATAACATAAATGTTTCAAAGTAAATGGAGGTAAAAAAAAAAAAAAAAAGAACAACAACAGAAGAATTGTAAAAGTGTAAGAGGATCTCGGTAGTGCGGATGTTCTAAAGCTGTATCGAACTTTATCCTTTTGCTTATTTTAATTCATTATTGCTTTCTATTTTTCAGCACTGCTGTATCTTCAGAAATGAAATGGCCACTGGCACAGAGGCATGACACTGGCTGTCACGTGAAGTCATGAAAAGGATGAAGAGGCCCGTTTCAAAAGGCGGCTCTGCATGGAGAGCTCCACATCTGCCAAGTAGTGTGGAAAAAATCTTGGAGCACAAACTGGGACAAGCTTTCCATGTCATTGCACAGGCTTTCTCCTGAGCTTCTAACTGATTCCAAGTTTTCAGAGTATTCACTGACTGCTGTGAACTTAATAAGCAAGAAGAAAAGGACTAGGGAGGAAGAATGCTGGGATTTGCCATCTCGGTAAAGTAAAACCTTTTTATTTGTGTTTACGTTCGTTTTTATCTAAAAGTGGAGGTCAGGTGATGCTAGAGAAGAAAGTTATTTTGTCATTTTATACTTGATTTGCTATAGATTCATTTTTCATTTTGTATTGCAACTTGTCATAGCAATGTTAAACCTTAAAAACCTTCTAAGCAATAGGATACAAATGATTTGATTGAACAGAAAACAATAAAAAATCTATGGACAAACAAATGTGTAAGCATGTTTAATCTTGTCCAGTATTTCACTGCTGCATTATGTATTTTTCTCCCTCTCTCAACTCCTTCCACATTTTTTAGCTCTGAGATTTATTGTCGAAATCCTCCAGGTCCCAAACCTTTGTGCTGACAACATCCAACCTCCGTAACTGTAAAGAACATAGTTACAGTGCCACCCTAAACAGCTGCAACAACAAAAACAACAGGCTCATCTAGTGAAGGATGATTAATAATTCAATATTAGTCACAGAAGCATCTACGTGGGTGGTGATTAATCTTTTCATTGTCACATTAACCACATGAAATCCTTCCTTACTAATATTTCCAACAGCCAATCCTTAGAGGTATATGGCTTCTATCTAGCCCTACGCCTGTCTGTCTTTGTGCTCACTCCTCCTCCTCCATTCATTCGAAACTTGTCTATTCAGACACACACCATTAAGTTCTTTGTTGCAGCTGCTTTGCCACGCTTGCCTTCGGCTTGGATCGACACAGACAACAGCAGTCTCTAAATGATGGTCTTCCTCAGCGTAGAACCTTCTCCCTGACTTCTCTTTTTAGATCCATCGCTGTAATCAGAAATGATGAGGTGTACTCTAGTTTCAAAAAAATGTTTTCTTTCGTTATTTGCTTTGGATTCAATCTAAGCATGTTATCAGAGAGAGGGTTTTGATGGCGAACAAACTTGTGTTTGTTACAGCAGAGGCCTCGGCGCCTTCTAATGCTTTGAACGGCCCGTCAGTGTGAATGGAGCATGCTGGTCCACAGGAAGGAGAACGCCAAAGAGCGCTCTAGAAGTCCTCTGTTTCCCCTCCCATGAAGTTCTTCCAATCACTGCTACAGAGCAGAGAGAACATTCATGAAGAGAAAAAATAAATAGAGGGTGAAAATGTTAACAGGAAGAGGGGGAAAGGTGAGAGACAAAAGACAATTAGGAAAAAAAAAGATCAGCGCATCCAAGCTGAACAATGGGTGTGAAAGCCAACACGTGTGTCAGATCAGCTCTTTACACTCATCTGAAGCCGTTTGGGTGTACATATAAATACACCAATCATATGGGTGATCACACCACACAGACGTGCCACTCTGTAGCTTTTCACTCCTTTTCATGTGCAAATTAAAACCTCACACTGTGGTTATCAAGATCTCATCTGATATTTGACTCAGACAAAAGCAGCTGATTGGAAACAGTAGCAGAGGCATTTAAAACCTCTGTCTACGTTAAGTTCAGGAAAAGAAGCTGAGGTCACAGTCCATAGCTGAGACACACCTCAGCCTTCTTTTAATGAAATTATATCTGCCTCAGTAGTGCAACTCAGAAATGTGATTTTTGTTTGTGTGTTCATTGCAAACAGGTCTATGTGAAGCACGTGTGCTGTTGACCATCTGATCACAGCTGCTTGGTCCTTCAGGCTCCATGTAGATTTATCACATGGCAGCACAGTCTGACTCACATGAAAAAAAGACTCTTTGTAAGAGCTGAAGAAACACTCACTCTTGTTTTTTTTTTTTTTTTTAAGGCAAACACTCACCGTTGTGGTAAGTTACCGCTCTTGAGGCGGAAACAGTTGTAGTATAGTGACTCCATGTGGCAGATTTTAAAAGTGCCCCAGATATGAGAAGCGAAACAGCTGCTGTAATAGGCGGACTCCAGAACACCTGCATATTAAAAGGGCAGGACTGATGGTATGCCGACCCACATCTCTACTGTCAGCTGTGGGTGGATTTGAGATGGGAGTGGCTCCAATATTATCCCCCATGCTGACCTCTTCTCTCTGGCTCTCAGTAATTCTCTGACGCTCACTTCAATCAGCGCTGCAGATGGCAAGTGGGAGCAACTGGTTCATCATCTCATGTCAGGGTGACATGAGAGGTCATTCATATTACGGATCTCATGGCTAAACCTAGATAATGTTAGCAGCTGCGTTAATATTAGTTTTCTCATGCTTACTGTTATGTGATCTAGTCATTTATTTCACATATATATATGTTTTTTGCATTTATTGTATGACAACCAGTACCCAACACATTTTATCGGTATTTTTTGCACCAGACTAACACAATTAAGTGTAGAATTGTAGAAAACTGGGGAGAAAGCTTATTTTACCTTTTTATATATATATATAAAAATACTTTTGTTGTCAGCCTCTAAATAAAATCTTGTGCAACCAACCTCACTTTTGCACTCTTACAATCATACTGAGACAACATGGCTTTATCAGAGAAGCAGAAAAAAGTCAAATTAAGAGTCTGGAGGAGCTGCAAAGATCTCCAACTCAAATGAAAACTTCTTTTGAAATGATGCCAAATCATGAACCCCACACATGCGTTCCTTATGGAGGGGTGGCAAAAGTAAAGTCTTTGTTGAAAGAAAACCACAAGGAATAACATTTCTAACGTACAGATCACCACATATGTATTTACGAATCTATCTGACTTAAAGATTAGTTTGATGATCTGAAATATTTATGAGACAAAAAAGCAAAAACAGAAAAATCTGTAAGGAGACACGTTACAGCTTTGCATAAAAGGGTATTATTATGTATTTACCAGGCACATTGTGCTATAAAATTGCACTATTACCTATGTTACTTTCAGCACTTAAGTCAAACATGACTTAAAAAGAGAAATTTAAATGCAAATTATCAATGTTTTGAAATTGGTCCAGGTAGGGTTAAAGCTCAAAAAAGTCAATTTTACTTAACACACCTTTAACATTTCAAACGTTTACACTGCAACCTCTTAAAGTTGGAAAAAAAAAATCTAATATCACATTATCTATTAATTAGTCGGAAAGCCGGTCTCCACAGTCTGAAAAAAAAAGATCATCTTGAATGACCGTAGGTCAAACTTTGTTCAGTCATGTGTAGGCGTGTCACCAGGCGGAAGTCAGAAAATGGAGTAAAGCAGGAGAGAGAAGGACAGAGGGGAAGGAGAGAGATTTAAGTGAGACAGCAGAAAAAATACAGGGAGAAGAGCTGAGAAGGGGGATGGAAGTGCCTTTGTGTGTAATGTGATCACATCCTGGAGCCCAGTTGGACAGCTGGGAACCCCCATCTTCCCCCCGCCCCCGATTTCCAGCTTGGAGAACTCAGACCAGACATCAGAGTAGAAGAAAATAGACGTTAACCCTTTATCCTCTCCTGCTGTGCATGAGCTATAAATAACAACACAGAAACAAAATGAAACTTAGTCACATTTATTGATTTTAACCAGTATGACTCCCCTTACACAGCCACCCCACCTCTCAACTCGAAAACAAACACTTTTAGCGCAATAATTCAGCAGTAATACATCAAACTCAACTCGATTCCTTTATTTTATTTATTTTTTCTTCTATTTTTCTTTCAAAACATCTCGGACAAAACTTAACATGTTTGTTTTCAATCCTGTGTAAAGGTCCCATGACTGAGGAACATGCATATGACATTTAGCTGGAATCAATATGCCACTAATCATAATGCACATTATTGATAAGAATACAGTACTGCATGACAGTTCAAATAAATACCAACATACAGGTGAAGTGGTTATTTTATATAAAGATATCAAACTCTTATGGATCAATACTGAAAGACAATATGACAATAGTTTGCACTGCTAATTTTATTATCACAATGCTATAGCTTCCAGCAAACAGAAAACTTTTCATTTGAAAAAAATAAAAAAAGTAAAACAGCATCTGAATTGCACTTTAATTGTTCAGCTTTATCTCCATATTGGTAACTTTTAACGCCTCAACAAGCAAGCATTGGCTGTAATGGCACTATTCAAGCTTGTTGATGCAAATTTTTGTTTTCTGTTTACTGAAAACGTAAATGTTGAAAACATGATGTAAAAAAAAGAGATAATAATAAAAAACAAGCTTAAAAAGAGACAAAAAGAAAAGAGAAAAAATGTGCTCCAAGCACATTTTTCCCCCCCAACAATACTATTAAGATCACATTACCTTCACCAAACACAGCTAGAGATGCGTAGATGTTTCCAATTGTACACCGATTTGCCCCTCAGCACATTTAGTTCAACAACAGGAGGGAGGCCAGAGGAACTCTTTTGGTTCCCAAAGCTTGGTAAAAAAAAAACAACAACAAAAAAACAAAAACAAAACAACAACCTTTTCTTAATACCCCTGAATTATTTGATCACTGACCTGCACAATTCAATACAATTTTAGTTATTGAGCTAATTTTAAAACTACTACCTCTCTCACGCAGAAAAAGGGGTTGAAATCACTTTTCTCTTTATTGCTGCTTATAGTCAGTTCAAACCCCATGTTTCTCACCTATAAAAAAAACAAACAAAAAGAACCCCCGCAAAATCCTAATCTAAGATTCTCCCTTGAAACAATGAAAGGCACTACTGGTCAGAAACAAAGAACTAAACAAACCAACTGAACATAAAAAAAACCCCCAAAAGCCCAGGTGCCTGCTCGCACGGAGAGCCGCGGCTGCCTCGTCTTCCTTCCGAGTTCTGATTCTTGTCGACCTAAACGGTGTGCCAACATTTGGCACGATAAACGAAGAGAGAATGAAGCAATTCCAATTTGGAATTTAATAATCGCAACTTGCAGAGAATTCTGAAGGCCAGTGATCGGTTTCGATGGAACGCCCTTGGTAAGAAGCTCGGAGAAAATCTCGTCACGCCAACCCGAATTTTATCTCCCCAACACAACTTACCCATTTGAATCAGAGCGTTGTCAAGTTTCATTGCGTAAAATTTTTTTTGTACTATTCCTAGGAATAATAAATACATGAAAAAACCCCAGAATTTGATCACCCTGGATTTTTTTTATATCGACCATGGCAGTAGAACGAACATACAAAGAAAAAAAACAACAACATAACATGTAAAATGTAACAAAACAAGTTAAGAATGGTTACTTGATGGATAAAATCTTGAGGACAGATCCATAATAGTACTCTTATGGTTTGTGGAGCGTTTTCTCAAGTAATTAGTATATTTAATCTGTGTTAAACTTACGTTGGTTGACTCACAAACCATAGTACTACCACGCTTTCCTATTAGGTTAACAATAATATGTAATAATCCTATATAATCAAAGTGCACATAGAGAAAAACTAAAATAAAAATAAAAAGTAAAATAAGAACAGCTTGTTTACAATGAGAAACAGCCACATGTCCCCTGGCTTCTAATTGGACGGTTAGATTAGCCAATCAGAATCTGTTTCAGAATGTTCACTGGACTTGTGAGAAGTTTGCTTCCAGCAGCGATGCACTATTTAAAAAAAAAAAAAAAAAAAGATTTGATGTGCCACATTTTAGTGTTCAGATGTAGAAGGCAGGCTAGTTTTTTTTTTTTGTCTTCACGTCCAAATCGGCTACAGTTCTAAGAGCTTTTGGAGCTGCGAGGGATAACTTTGTGTTGGTACGCCGTCGTCCTTGAGGAATTACTGTAAAATTACTGCAAAAATGGAGACATAAAGAAACGATCAGCATTGTTAGCGTTCAGGTAGTCTGAAAGCAGCTGTCAGTAAAGTCAGGTGATGAAGAAGACTGCAGCCAGTGTTAGTCAAAGCAGCAGAAGTCGATTTTAGGAGCTCAAAGCCAAATACGGTCTCATTTTGAAGCTTTTCCAATAAATTAAAATTGGAACTGCGCACACACTGCATTTTACCCTGCAAATGCAATTAGGAAGCCAAAAAATGTCACAAGTACTGTGAACCTTTCTTCTAAAGACAGCGATGAAGCCACAGAGAGATGCCATGCGGGTCAAGAAAAAACGAGTAACGTTTTCACATGCAGGCTTTAACGAACAAATACAAACATGATTTAAGGTGAAAACTCAGAGGTGGTGAGGGAGAAGCCTGCAGGCAGAGGTAGGAGGAGCTGCACAGGTGCCGTATTGTAATGACACCAGATGAGTTAAAACACATTGATTTCAAATTCGACGGGGCAGTCGACACTCGCCTAAGGATTCTAGTCACGATCACATCCTGAGATCTATCTACAGCTCAGTGAAACCACAGAGCCTATACATGGGAGAAGGTTAGATCATTTCAATCAATGTCCTTGGGTCAACTGAGTGACCGTTTATCGGTTTCCTGCCTCTAAATATCACCAGGAGGTTTTCCCTCTGGAAAATCCAGGACTTGTTTCTCCACATTATTACACAGACATCTGGTTTTCCCATCTAACGTGTAGGTCTCCTTCCTTTTCAGCACAAACTGATAGAAACTGAATGCATTCTACTTGTATGCTGAGTGATTACAAAACATAGAAGTAACTGACCTCTAAGGAGGCTCGTTTTTTTCATTACGTCGTACAACAGCCTCGAGTGCTTTTGCTGTGGCCTACTGATGCACGCTCAAGCAGGGTTGATCAACAGATTTCCTTTTTATTACTATTAGGAATCAATCCGCATCGCATTGTATCAAAGATGGTGGAATACTGTCGCAGGATCCTGCAAGATCACCACCTGAAGGATTATATCAAGAATATAGAGTTTAACATAGAGCTTTGCAGAGTTAGAAAATGGTACAATTTTTAAAAAACCTTGCAGGATCACCTTCCATCAACCCTGCTTTTAACATCATAAAGTGAACATGTTTATGATCCACAAGCACTACATGGATTTAATAAACACAAGCCCCACTTTTATTCTTTTTTACTATTTGCTTAATACTAGCTTGCAATGGTTTAAAGCTATTGTAAATACTAAAACAGTGTGCGGTGTCGTTCTCGCACACCAAACGACACAGAAAAGAGAGGCCCTCGTTGTGCAAATGGTTAATAACATACCGCGCACACACATACCCACGCATACACACACGAGGGCCCCTTCACTTCCAACACTGAGATATTATACACACGCAGCTTAACGAGAGGATATTACCTGACAGAAATATTTTCCTCACAAGTCCTCTTTCTAGTTAAAGGGTGATTGGTGATGCTGAGGGAGCAAGCTGCTGACAATCTACGAGAGAGAAGGTGGTTATAGCTAACAAGACACTTGAAGACATAAGGAGAGTTTATTTTTAGCAGTAGGCATGGGCTGGTATGGGCATTGTTAGGTTTCAAACTTAACGATGCTCCTCTAACATCTATAGCTATGGGCTATGTACAGGTTTTAGGAGCAATAGGAACATAAATTGATTTCTGTCTCAAGCAAGAAGAATTGATCATACTATAGAATTGTGTTCAAAACTAATCATATTCCTGGCAGATGTAGATTTAAAGTGATGGTTTAGTAATGTTTTGAAGCCGCCAGAGTCTTAACTTGAGGACTTTTATCATCTCTAAATGCTCAAAATATCAGTGTGTCAATACTCATGACAAGCCTTTAGCTCCCAAGAAAGACTTTTCCATTGATTATTTAGAAGTATGGATATTTTGATATGACATTTTATAAATAAGAAGACAAATTGGTTTTCTTCAAAAGTCAAAAATGCCTTTGAACTTAGTTTTGTCTTTTGGGAGACTGTTGCTTCATTTGGGAGACTGTTGCTTCATTTGGGAGACTGTTGCAACATCCAGGAAGTTGCTTCCTGGATGAAGGAAAGTTATTTTAAATCTATGTCCGGTAGGAATGTGAATAATTTTCAGTTCAATTCAATAATTTTGAGCCACACTATACATTTTTCTTTTTGAGTTCAAATTGTGGTACTTTTACTCAATCTTATACAGCTGTGGCTACAATGTAGCTTCTAACCATCAGGATGGGTGAATGACTAAAGGTAGCAAGAAGCACTTTGGGGTCCTCTGGTCTTGAAGAATGTGCTATTCAATTACAGGCTATTTACCTTTTATCATTTAAACTATGAACATCTGGTACCGGCCCATGCCTACTCGGTCACATAACTTTATGTTCTCTATTATATACTGGAAATCTATGGCGTGATCTCCTACGGGTAAAGCAGGAACATGATAATGAGTGTGGGAGAGCCGAGACATGAGGACAGGGCTTTGCATCATCAACAGATAAATACACTGAATGTTTGCGTCGACAGGCACTTTCGCCGAGCAGTCGGTTTTGCTTAATCCAGATTTGAGGAAGTTCCTCTTGAAATAATTTGTGCTCTTCCAGAATTTCGCTGATTATTTAAAAAATAACCTTTGAACAAAACTATATTGTGTCTCTGTTCACAGTAAAACAGAAGAAGTAACCTGAGGCACCTATGTTGAAGTGCACTTAATTTGGATACGAAGATCGATTTGTCAAACGTTCTCCTTCTCTCTCTCTTGTGATATGGCTCTGATCGGACCCAATGCGACATGTCGGGTCGCGCGGAGCTCACAGCCCCTCCTGTGTTTTCACCGTACACCAATTAACTGGGATTTTTGCAATGTAGAGCCCTGCAGTTCGTCTGATAACACACCTGATGACAGAAAGTAACGGTAAATCTTTTTTTAAAAGCGCTTTCAGCTGCAAAGCCATGCAATCCTACCGATGTTATTGTATTGGTGTTCTAGCATCACAGCTTTAAACTGATCCTGAAATATACACCTGCGGTCACAGGTGCTCCTTTTTTCTGCCCGAACCTTTTCATTATAAAACCAAGAAACCTTTCCCCCCCCTTCTCAGTTTAAATTGGTACATAGATCCGTTTTGATGCTCCCCTAGCCACAAAGCAGAGGGAACTTGCATATTTTAGTTTATTTTCTTGTAAACATCAGTTACTTGATTTAAAAAATGGGCTGCTGCATACAGCAGTCCCTGGTCAGGATAGAAAGGAAGGGAGAGAGGTTAAGGGCTATTTTCATCAAAGGAGCACCGACAGACACGCCAAACAGAGGATGTCGTTCAGTCCGACATCTCTACAAGCCTCCACAACCCCCACCATGTGTTTATGTTACTGGGTCAGAACAGATAAACACAGAAGCTGCAACCTTTTACATCATAGGTACAGCACCATGACAGCGGAAAGAATAGACACTCCATAAAATCCACAACACCCCCCCATTATAACCAGGGCCTTTGAACCCACATGCCAGTTATGTCTACTACAGTCCACAGCACACTGTACATACATCTGCATTCCCCTAAGCAGTTACACGAGCACAAACGAGCAGCCGGTTAGTAACGCAGCAGTCCCTAGAGGAGCGCAGGCTGGCCGGGGAGCAAAGCGAGCAAGTGGGGCTCTTTTACACTAAGGACAGGGAGGGTTTGGTCCCCCTCCCTGTCCTCTGTACACAGCAGTCCAGCTGGACGTCCGAGCAGCCTCTCAGTCGCAGTAGATCTTGTACTTCTCACTGCAGAAGATGGCAGGGCCTCCCAGGATGCCATTGGGCATGGCGTTGTTGAGCTCGGGACGGCCGGAGCCAGAGCAGGTGAGACTCTGACTTACGTGGGGGTTGCTGATGGCGGTGGTGCCGGCAGCCTTGCTGCGGGTCTTGGAACGCCCGCTGTTGCCGCCGCGCCGGGTTTGCTCATGGTCGAACTCCAGGTCCTCCAGGCGCTGCGTCAGCGCCAGCTTCTGCTGGATGGCCATCCTCAGCAGAGAGTTGAGGGTCTTCTTCTCGTCCTCGGCTGCAGCCAGCTGCCTCTGCATCTCCTCCAGCTGGGTGACATATTCGTCACAGCTGCAGGAGGGAAACATAAAGGAAAACGTGAAGCTTGACTTGCAGGTTCACCACAACTTAAATTTCTCACAAAACGTTTTATACAGGAATATCAGTCTAATGATCATTAGACAGCAAATACTTGGTCAGGGATCCTTTCATGTGAATAACTGCATCAGTGAGGTGAGCCCCAGGCTGCACACAATCTTTTAACAGAATTAGATTCTGTGCAGAAGAACACTATCTTTGTCAAAATCCCACTAACCCAACTTTTAGAAAGATCAAGATTCTCAGTTGTTTTTGTAACCAGCAGATGGCAGCAACAAGCCACAAAGCTCAAGCTTGCTCACCAAAAATTTTCCTGTAATATTAACTTCTGACTCAATCAGCCATTTTGCCACCTCTGCTACAAATACATAGATTAAACTAGTATTAAAATAATAATAATAAAAAAAAGGTTGAACAACTTCTTCAAAGCAATCTAAATCCTCTCATTTTAGATTTTCTTTAATGGGGGATAAATGATATGATCAGGTCAGATACAAAACTCAGTTTCTTTCAATAAGCTCCGTGCAAGGATGAAATCATTAATGCATTAACCTCGTGGTCATTCAGTAACAAAGTGAAAGGATGAGAAGAAGACTGTGCTTCATCACTCTCGCCAGCTGCACTGAGACTTAGTTCAAACATATTGTCTCAAATATGCAGTATAACTAATAACTGTGTGCATACTGCTTCATTATTTCCTGTCACTCATTCCATGTGTGTGTCTCTGTGTGAGCATGTGTGTGTGTGTCTGTGAATGATTTAAAGCTGGACAGGTAAGAAAACCGGGTCACTCAACAGGATTGGGTTTAGTGAGTTGTATCTCTAGCCTCCATCTGCTGTGGCAGTACCCCTGTTTCATTTTCATCCTCCTCCTCCTGGGTCTTATCTCACTTCACAAGCCTCAACATTTTCTGCTGCTTGTATCAGAGCCTTTCAGTCTCATTTGTGCTCATCTACACTTTCTTTGTTTGCTGATATCAAAATGCAGTGGGCTTTGCTTCACTGAGTGAAGAGGAAAATACAAAGAACTTTTGTTTCATTTTGTTAGCTAACTACTAGCGACAACCCACTATTTTGCAAAGCCTGATTAGTGCTGTTAGTGCCAAGGCAAGGCAAGTTTATTTGTAAAGCACATTTCAGCAACAAGGCAATTCAAAGTGATTTAGATAATGAACTACTTGTGGTTTTACTCAGCAAACCATTTCAGATAGATAACCTGGCTGGCAGGATAACCTTGTCAGCCAGATTATTCCTGGCTGGCAAGGATTTCTGTTTTTTATATATCTGACTTTGCGATTTTGATTTATTTTCCCCAAGGACTGGATCAACAGAAATGCATTAAAATATCTTATAATGCATTTCTCAATATCAGTCTGATTTTTTAATGTTTAGACATATCAGAAAGAAGCCCAAAAGTACTCAAAGAACAAGTGGGACTGCCAACACCATCTGGATGAAAACCTTTTGGAAAACTTTCCTGTGAAGTCAAAAGTCATCCGTGCCTGCAGATGTTTTTGTTGTGTTCAGGTCTGCACGTGGTTCGTGGCCATGTGAACTCTGCCCCTTACCAGACCACCATACAAACAAACTAACACCTCCACCCCTGAACCTCTGCTCTGCTCCACCCTTTGGGACACACCCAGACAAAAGGGATCAGTGCCTCTTCATTAAACCCAGTGTGATACTTTGGGGGGCGACCCTGTTAGGTGTCTGGGGGTGGGGGTGTGGTAGTGTCTCTTCAGACAGTTCAGTGTGTCTTGCCTGGGAGTGGGAGGTTGTGCAATTTTTTTTTCCCGGGAAAAAGACGACGGGATACAAAAGGAGCCTGTTTTGGCCCGCTGATGGGGCCATTGTGGCACGATATAAGAGGAGAGCCAGGAGGCGGCTGTGGGGTTGTGTAAGATGAATACAAGCTGTAATGTCGGTTGTGACAGATGAGCATATTATCTGCATCCTTTGTAGAAATGTAGTGGCTCACTGCATCTTACTGCCCTTATAAACAAGATGTTTCATGACTGAAACTGATCTTAAGGCATATAAACAACTTCCTGAGCTGCAGCCCTGATCTGAACATGACTGATCACGTTGAGATCACACAGATAAAATGAACAAAACAACATTTTTTAATAGCATGAAAACCACAGGTTAGGGTTACGTGTAATGGTTTGACCGTTGATGAGTGAGAGCAGAAAGGGAGAGCATGTTGAGGCATGTCTGAGGAATGTTGGAGGCAGGACTTTAACTGTTAATATGACACCAGAGCCCGCAGCTGGAGGGGCTCAGACTCTCGCAGGGAAACAAAGAGGAGAACGTAAACACATGTGAAAAATATCTCATGGACTTCCCACTCCAACATCCACTTCTGCTTTCAACAACTCCATAAGTAAAGTGTTACAACAAAACCCTAGGCTTTGCCCAATTCCCCTCCATCTCCAGGTTTTTCTTCCATGAGGACCACACATCATTTGTGTGCGAGAGATTTTTCCCCAAATCCCTTTTCATGACTCTGAAAAATTGGGCTCGTGGAGTGGACTTCAGTTACAAACCTGGTCCTTCCTCTTGTCACCAGATGCTTAAAGATGTGTGTGTTTGGTGCAGAGGAAGCACAGGAGGGGGACAAGGGATACAAAGGAGATGGGGAGTGTGGGAAACTTCACTCAGGCAAGTCCCCCAGATTTTCAAAGACCCCCTGACCCAAACTCTGTGCCGTATAGCACAGAATTTACATACCAATGCATGAATCCCATAAACAGACTGAATGTAACCCTACAACAGTGGTGGACAACTGGGGCAGGGTGGGCACAGAAACAAATGTCATCTCAGCATATCAATGAATATATGCATTGATGGCAGGTTTTAAGGTACATCAACAGCATCTTCAGAAAAGCAGAAGGACAAAAGAAATGAAGTCAATGGGCTCATCCAGACCACAGTGCATTGCAAAGGTTTTTCTAGACCTGGAACTGTTTTGTTTTGTCTTTAGAAAGACTCACTTTTATGTTTTTACATGACAGAAGTGCAGAACTAAAGTGGAAAGGAAATAGGAATGGTGTGTTCAGAGTGTTGTGTATCATTTGCTTTTATGTAGCCCAAAAAATTCAGTTTTAGTGACAAGATGGCTTTCCCTCAACAGCAACTTTCATCCCGCATTTAAGCCAGTTACAATGACAAATTTTGCTAGATGATAAACTGTCCTAGTAATTATTGCAATAGGCCATAATGTTGATGTTTTGAGACCATTTTTCCAGTAATGTATTGATGGCATAATAATGCAGGTTTTTCACTTCAATTTTCCAAAGAACATTCAGCACTATAACGATTTATCACTCAGTTGTGTATTGAAAAGGAGTCCCAAGTGCAGGAAGATGGACTGACTCTGCTATGAAAATCACATTTAAATGCATTTAAATTTAAGATCTTACAACAAATGCACACTTTGTTAGCTTTAACATGGAGTGTGTCCTCCTACGTACACATAACGTAGGTAAACAAATAAGCAGTGTGTCAGGACTTAGTTTGCTATGTGATGAAAGCATAATCGCAGCCAAGATGAGGTGGGATTATGGACACAACCTCTGACCGGCTTCTCTTGGGAATCAGAAAAGATTAGTGAGTATGTCGGCCCATTTGAGACACAAACACACACCAAGTCAGTTAACAAAACCAATGCTTACGTGAATATTTTAGCGCTAAACAGATGAGATTCATTCACTCTTTAATATTCAGTCTCATCATAATAAAGAACCTCTTCTTCCTTGGTATGAATAAAACTAGGAGAGCTCAACTTTGGCATACACAACATATGGCAAAGATGGATTACATTTTAACAATAATCCTGTCTTTAGCTACCTGCTTACAGTGTGCTTGGCCTTTGCATGCAACAATAGCTCTAAGAATAACACCCATTCCCTTTCTTAACACAAATTATTCTTGTCCGGTTTCCTATAGCAACATGGCAGACTAGCACAGATTAGGACTGGCGCCAGTTCATTTGTGTAAAGAGGAAATGCCGCCTAAGGCAATTTACCAGGAGATACAAACATAGTAAAGATTTGAAGGTTTTAAAATGCTTTGTCTTACGAGGTGCCTCTTACCGTGTGGCAAACATAGCTCGGAGAGAGGAGAAGGTAGCAGCGTCTTCCTTCAGAGCCTTCAGCTCGTTCCTCAGCTTCATCATGGTCTCTGTCACCATGGCTTTCTCGTTCTCATACTTGCTCTTCAGATTGGCCAAAGCAACCTCAGCTGTCTGTGAGTTAACAAGGGGAAATACAGAGTGCTTGTTACGTCTTTTCTGTCATAACAAGCAGAGACACTCTGAGAAATCATCAACACATTCAGACAAATGCAAGAGAATGATGTTTGATGACTTAAATAAACAAAATCTACCAACAAGATAACATTTAGATGCGACAATTTCTATCCGAAATACATAAAAATGCTTGTACACTATAGTTTGTTTAGATAGATTGTTTACAAATAAAAAATAGAAGTTTGAAGGGACAAAATTGGTAAGTGTGATATTAATTGGGGATATGAATTCTCCCAAAGACTCCTCCTGACTGTACAGGTGACAACACTCTTCTGTGTGGAAGTTGTTACTTAGATAAAAAGATTAAAAATTAACCATTTGTTAATCAACCACTGAGGTGTTACAAAATTAAGTGAGGAAAAGCTGATTTAACTATTTTCTACATCGTGTTGTGTCTGAATAAATCAGACAATATGACTTTCGGAGGATTCCAGGATGCTTTTTACCCGTCATAGAATATGACGGGTAAAAATTGTTGCCATTTGCTTGTATAAGATGCTAAAGAGAGTTCAACATGACATCTCAGAAATCAGTTTGTGTAATTTACTGTACAATCTCAGAAGAACACAATTTCTAGTTCCAATACAGAGGGAGTAAAGAACCACCGTTCTGCCGTCACAACAGGAAGGTGGTTCTTATAGTATCATCATGGCTCTCAAAGAGAAATCAGAACCAGCTGCCAGACTGGAAATGTCCCACTAAATTCTGGTCTACAAACAAGCCTAAAACGGATTGCCGACTCAGTCTAAAATTGTCTGCCTCTCAGTCAGAGTTACCTCTGTTTAAATGGGCCAGTTTTCACAGCTGAATGTCAAATGTTCATTTACAAGCTGTTATTTGTTTTTCTGTGTGCTCTCAGTGAATAGCCCCACACATAGCTTTAAGGGCTGCCACAGCAACTGCAAACACACCCAACATTAGGGCTAAAATTCTTTGCATTTCACCCAGCAGCTCTGTTTTCCTAAACACGTTGATACTCAGGGCAGCTGCCACCATATGGCTGCTTCCTCAGTGTGTGTTTGCGATTGTAACCCATCTGCAACCTGTTTGGTGCAGCAGCTGATCAGACCTGAAATAGCTCCGTCTTTCACCGTTTCTGTCTGATAGTAATGACAAGCAGGCTGAACAAACAATGACAGGAGCAGACAAAACGGATCCACCCACCTGCTTGTTGGCCTTGAGGACAGTCCGCAGAGTAGCGATCTGCTCCCGCTTGGTGCTCAGCAGGGACTTCAGCTTGAGGATCTCTTCCATGCAGGCCTCTTTGTCCTTGTCTGCCACGGTGCCAAGCTCCAGAGATGCTACCCGCTGGCGCGACAGCTCTGTGGTACGATCCACGGCCAGCTGCAGGTGCTTGATCTGGTCTCTGATGATCGCCACCAGGTTGTAGATGTTCATGGGCTCACGACGGTGGTCCGACACAGGGGAGGGGAGAGAGGAGACGGGTGAGGGCGCGCCATCACTGAGGTCAGCCCTGCCGTGTTCTGGGAAGAGACCCTTGGTCAGCAGAATGGGAGAACGCCGACCGCGGCCCTCCGGGCTGCTCCGACCACCTTTGCCCTCCTTGTAGAAGTCGAGCATCACTCTGTTGGGGGTCTCGTTGTTGCACATGCAGACGTGGTTGTAGAGGGTGGCCAGTTCCTCACTGAATGTTACCAGCTCATCCTGGGCCACGCTCAGACTGCCCTGGGACTCGCCTGCCACATCACTCAGCTAAAACACAAAGAAATAAATCAGCTCCTGCTTCTTTGGGAGCACAGAAAGGGTTTCAAACAGAAGTCTCTCACCTTGCGCAGCTCTTTCTCCAGTTTAGCCTTCTCTTCTCTTTCTGCAAAAGTGGTCCTCTCCAGATTGGACAGCTTATCTCCCAGAGACCTGACGTCATTCTCCAGACGGCTGCGCTCCTCGTCGTAGCGCGACTGACAGGCCTGGTATTCTGCTTTTAATGTCTTCAGCTCCTCCTTCAGCTCCCCTGCCTCAGACACGGCCACCTGCCAGAGAAAAATGATGACTGAGCTTAAAAGGTCAAAATACAGACATTTTGTTGATGTGTTCAAGAGAAGTTTGAGTTACCTTGTACTTGCACTCCAGGATCTCCGGTCCATTAATGTCCACCTCATAGTAGTCTCCGTCCTCGTGGCTGTCCCGCTCTTTCTCGTTGTCCAAAGCAGACTGACGCTCTTTGCTGGCTTGGAGCTTACGGATGGCGTTGAGGTTCTCTGTCAGCCTGTTGACCTTCTCCTGATGCTCGGATAGAGCCCCATTGGCCTGCTCCAGCTGTTTCTGGGAGTCCTGCAGATTGGACAGCAGGTTGACCTTTTCCCGCTCCATCTGAGAAGAGATGCATAGAGATGGAATTTATTTATTTTTTAATAACTAAATGATGAGAAACGGGACTCCTGCTTTTAAAAATGATATTAAATCAGAGGATTAACTGTCCATGTGATAAGCCCCGGCAGCATTAGGATGGTGTTATCGCAGAATATGAGGCAGCGTGCCAGCAAAATCAGCATCAGGGTCATTGTGACCTTAACGGTTCAGATCGACTGGGCAAGGGTGGTCCTACACATGTGAATAAAGCTTCGTTTATGTCAGCACTGAGCTATTTCAAAAACTATGCCCGCATGATATGTTCATGAAGTTTATTCATAAAAGATGGAACAACAGCTCAGAAAATTAGACTTAAAATAAATCTGGTACCATAAGGTGGGCCTAGGTAAAAGCTGTCTTAGGTCTTTATCCCATTAGATCTTTTTTAGGAGGCTTCAAGATCATATCACCCCTAAAAAGAACCAGATGGTCTGTCACTGAAACAGACTTTCCCCAGCTGCCATTTCTACATCTGATGAAGGCAAAAGACATCACAAGACATAAAAATAAACATAGTGTGAAAAACAATTCCTATCCAAAGGTTCAGATGGGTTTCTGGTGACCATGGTACCCAGACATGTGTGAGTGATCTTGTGGTGATGAGCAAGCAGATGGCAGGACCTCCGGTGGCACCACCTGCTGCCCTGGGAGCCCAGTGGAGCCTGGCGCGTGTGTGTGTCTGGCTCTCCTTGGATTAACTTTGCTGTAATGGGATTTAGATGCCTGAGGCTGACGGGTCAGGATACAGCAAGCCTCTCCTCTGAGAAACACACCTTTAAATACAGATGAATTCTGTCCTGGTAGTTAGAAATGGACCAATCAGGACTTTAAAGTTAACTTCTCGGATCCATTTGTTTTCTTGCAAAACGCTGACATGCTGATGCCAATTATAGCAAATTCCAGTTTCTTATAAAAAAATACTGGAAAACAAAATAACACTTAAAATTTTTTTTAGTTTTTTTTTGCATTCTTTAATAATTACTTATTTTAGGAGCAGAGGCAAAATCGGATCTTTCTGTAAGAGCAAAAACTGCAAAACAAGTATTTATAAACATTTTAAAGAAAGATCTTTTAAACTGTTTTTACATCTTATAATAGTGATAAATACAATTTCTAAGGTTTCCTAAAAGTTGTCAATGTGTTCAGGCTGTACCCCACAGCTTTCCTTCTTGGTTCATTTTCAAAAATAATGCTTTAGGATAAACAAAAGATTTTTGATCCATTCAGATTTTGTCTTTTGCTATTTTTATCTGTTTTTTATTCCACTGAAATTACGATTATCTCTAAAACTGACAGAAACAAATAATCCGTAAGACATTGCAATTCTGTTGTGTGACAAAGAAATGTGAACAGAGACCAACCTGCATCAGCTGCTGTTTGAGCTTCTGGATTTCTGAGATGTTCAGCTCACTCAGCAGGTCGTCGACCAGGCTGGGCACAGGGCAGAAGAGCTCCTCCTTCTTAGGAGTGGAGATGCGGTTGTCCTCGTTGATGGTGTTGGCCAGTTTGGTGAAGCTATTCTCGTATCCAAGCAGAGCCTCATCGTTGTTAGGTTCTGTGGTGGCATCGTCACTGAACTTGAGGCCATCCAGAGAAATGCTTAAAGGACTGAGGGAGAGATGTGGGAAATTATGTAATTTGACGATCTGAACGTGTTCCATAAAAAGCCTGACAGCAGCTTGTTTGTGTTCTGGTTACCTGTGATACAGAGTGTCTCCGATGTTCATGTAGTGGGAGAGCTCTTTCCTCAGAGAGGTCTTGAGCTCCCGCTCCGTCTTGATGGTCTCCAGAGCCTCACCCAACTGACGCTCAGCGATTTCCTTCAGGCGGATGGCGTCCTCCAGCTGGCTGTTCAGGAACTGGGTGTCTTCTTCCAGACGACGGATCTCGTGCTTCAAACCCTCAAACTCCACCTAGACAGAGCAGAGGCAAGAGGAGTCAAGATTTCTGAAATTTCACAAAATCAGCCATTGAGTTAACTGATGAGGAGACTTAAAAAACAAAAGCATCATTATAAAAACATTTCTTTTTTTTAAATACATATTTGAGATCCTTCTAAATTTGGAAAAATTTTATTGAGCACATACTAATATATCCATATGAGTAGGTTTAGGTTAGGTCAAAATAAAACACCAAAAGTTCATTGTCGATCAGAGATTGTGGTGAAAACCACCTGTAAATATTATGACAAAAATCGTCAGAAGTGGTCAGTGTGCACAAGGGCTTGTAGTTCCATACAGGTTGCATTTTAATGAGAGTGTCATCAAAAAGTTAATTTAGTTCGTTAAGTCAATTAAAAATGAAACATTCAGACAGAAATTGATATATTTCAAATGTTTTTTTTCCTGCTAGTTTTGAAAATGTCGACTTACAGCTAACAAAAATGCTAAATTTGGACAAAAGGAAAATTTTTATTCTATATGAAGTTGATAAATAATGATTCAGCAGTTGTTCAACAAACGGGTGATATTATCACAGCAGCATAATAAATTTTGGGTTGTAGAAAAATTTCCACAAGCAACAGGGGCTTGTGCATCGTACTGTATCAATATATTGTAACAATGAGCCTTAAACAGTGTTAAGGCTGTTGATGTTGTTGCTCCATTACTAACTAAAGTTCAAAACAACTTTCAATAACATACAAGTATAAACTTAAAAAAAAAAAAATTTGATGTTTAGTGACAGTGGTTGATTTTTAATTCTTCTCATGGTGGACATGCAAAACTCAACACAAAATAGCATTACTAGAAATGAAAAAGAGGTCATGTTTTTTTTTTGTCAGTGAAAACAAGGCAGTGATAATTGACTTTGGGGTTTATATTTGATAATTGGCTTGTTTAAAATGATTTTAGCCCTAAGAAGCCGCTAAATGATACTCAGAAGAAAATAGAAATTTGCTAAGAGGGATCTCGAATTATTTTATGGTTAGTCATCTCATCTTTTTCTGCATGCATATGATTTTACCGTGGCAACACTGCCCTCTGGCACTTCCTCACCTGACTTTGTTTGAGCACTAAGACTTGCTTCTGCAGAGAGATGTTCTCCTCCTCCAGCTCGGTGTAGTCCTGCAGCAGACGGCCTTCCCTGAACTTGTACTCCTTGATGTCGTCACGCAGCTGATTCCTCTGGAGCTCCATCATCTCCCCGTTCTGTAGGTAAGCAGAATTAGAGAAGCAGTCAGCTTGAGCAATGCTGACTTTGATGAGAGCTGCAGCACTGCAACAGTTTTTTACGTTTTCAATCTTACTAAATTATAAAGCTCTCCCGTCTGGATGAACCAAATGTGCGCCTGCTGGGAGGTAGGTACCAGGTGTCGCTCCAGGCAGTGGGCCATCAGCTCTCTCACTTAAGACTTCTAACTGCACTAAAGGCAGGGACTGAAGCCTGCCTTGTCTCTCTTAGGGACGAGTGCTTCCTGTGAGTGGGTGGAAAGCTTTGCAATGGTCTAATTATCCAAACGAGAACCTCATTATGAGTCTTTCTTTGTGTCTAAAGAGTAAAGAGACACAAGTGAGGAAGTTACAGCAAAAAGACAGTGCAAAAACTGGCTGAAATGTCCCCGAAGTGTGCCAGAGAAACAAGCGGTTTGACTTTTTTGTTTGCTCCTATTACCAAACACCACTCTGTTTCTAATGTACTGTAAGTGCAGTCTGATACCTCATGCTGCTCCCGCTTCATTAATAAAATAAAGCACAGAGAAGCTAGGAACCAGCCTTTCCACCATAAGGCTTCTATCTCCCTACTGAACCATGCAAAACCTTACCAGTTGCCTATAAGGAAGTACTTAGTTGCCTTTTATGATTAGTTAGAATAATGAAAAAAAAATGTCTGGGATTTTGTGTCAATGTGTTAATGAGAGTGGGCTCTCATTCAGGAGATTTTCTAATAACGAAGAGACTATTAACTATCAATCTGTATGTGCCCATTTGGCCCCTTTCTCTCATGCCATTGCCATATGGTTACGTTAAAATCCCCTCCTCTCGGGTCAATTTATTGGTCCGACAAAGTCGCTCTTGAGGGGGTTTCACTTAGACATACATGTAGATTAACTATCATTATGATGCAGGGCTTTGCAGCAACATTGACACCCCTGGAACCTTTTAAGTTTAGATGCGTTACAAAAATGTGTTGATATTTCATAGGAATTTTATGACAGCCCAACAAGTAGCACATCATTGCAAAGTTGAGGGACTGTGTTGTATTTATTGTTTGTTTGGGTTTTTTTTTCAATCAAATAAGTACTTTTGTATTTATTGTATGTATGTCTTAAATTCAGGGCAAACATTTGCTTTCAGTAAGGCACACAATTAATCAGTAGAATCACCTTGCTTATAATTTAATCGTAGTATAAATCCAAATATTCTTTGAAAGCATCAAAGATTTGTTAGAAAGCATCAGAGAGCAAAACATATTATGAGACAAAGTCACAGCAGACAGTTCAGACAGAGTTGTAGAAAAGTTGAAAGCAGGTTTACCTTCTAGAACATTACGTCAAGCTTTGAACACCTCACTGTTTTCAATCCATCAGCTAAAAGCATAAGAGTACACCACAAACATACCAAACTATGACTGTGCACCTAAACTGGTAACAAGGAGCTAAAGATAAGGAATTTAAACCAAAAAGATTCCAGTTCTCAACCTGTCTTTTACTACCCAATAGTTCTGTCTGACCCACATCATTGTGTAAATGCCTCATTCTTTTATTGTTTGGGCTTAATCTGGTTTATGAAAGATTATAGTGCAGATTGTAGGCAGTTTAAGCTCACAAGTATTATTTATATGAGTATCCCTGCAATTAGATGCCATTAAACACCTAATTTATTAACGCCGTCTTAAACAACCGACAGTGTTTCTGAACGCTCCCTGCTTTTACACCACACTACTCTTAATATTTGGTTCGGATGGATAGCAAGGCTGTAAAATGTTGTTAAATTCGAGAAATCAAGAGTATGATCCATGTTAGCAGCTCGATAATTAAACACCAAGTGCAGAGCAGATTTAAGACCATCATTTGATGAATTAAGATTCATCAGATGCACATGTCTGATGAACCATATTGGTGCGTTACTAAATAAGAGACTTACTTCTATGACTTCTGAGGGAGACAAGAATCAAAGCAAAGTTGAGGAAGCAGCATTAAGAGCATCATTAGCTCAGATGTCTCAGACAATATAAACAGTGAATTCATTATGTTTGTGAAGATAATCTCCTCAGCAGAATAATCTCTTTTTGTTAGCTGAACAATGTGGAGCCAGCTGGCTGCTCAGGTCTCCTCCTGGTCAGGGCTATGTGCCTCAGCTGGTGGGTTAGCTCTGTTCGATCCAGATGAAAAGACGCTGCTCCGATCTGATTAAAATGCACACATGGGTGGTGACCTTCGCCCTTCTGCGTCCTCTATTGCCCTGTGCCCCAAATTGGAAATTGTGTTCCAAAACTATAAAGTGCAAATAACATTTATTTGTGTGAGGGCCGTAATGACACTCTGGGGAATGTTACTGGAATTATTCTGGGGAGCAATCTGCTGCCTCCAACAGAGATCATTAGGAAGACGTCACTCACAGGCTTACGTCAGGTCAGCGGCAGTAGCTTCTGTCACCACAGGTGACGCCTTGACAGCTGTCCTATCTGCCACACACGTTCCAGACAAGAGTATCACCGGGTGGCAGAACCAACACAAGCAGGCTATGCCAAAGTGCAAAACTGTATCGTAAAATTTCCAAAGGCATGGCAATTTTTTTTTAATTTTCATCTTAGATTTTTTTGCAAGAATGATGAGTAAGAATTTAGCTGGTTTACAGGCATAATTAACGACATTTTAAACAGTGAAGGATTTAGAAGTCTTTGGAGTCTTTAATGTCTAGCAATGAGCATGACAACCATTACAAAGAGAGCAATCTCCTTGTCTTCTACTCATAGTCTACCTCTTGCTAAAATGATGGCTAGACTCTAACATGGTACAAGACTGTTTTATTTATACGTTCGGCCAATCTGACTGGGAAAATACATATTTTGCCCTACTTCTCTGCTTTCGCAGAAAGCCCCTTGACCTCAATTTCCCTCTCCATGTTATTCACTTTGCACTTAAGCAACATGTATGTGTCAGTTCTTTCCAAACACATTTCCTCACAAAGTGCAGAAGCCCAGAAATGCCACGACAGAGACAGACAGAGAGGCAGAGCACCAGCTTCCCTGTGCTTACTTTGACTCCATTTCTCTACTTCTACTGACACCACTGACCTCCATCTTGCCCTTTCATCATCCTCGTTGCTCTAGTTTTCCCAACCCCCACTGCGCCTCCATCATCTCTGCATCCGTGTGCTTTTAAAAGCCATGCATCAATCACTTTTTCCCCCACATGCTAAATCTATCTTCCATCACATCTGAAAAGTAGAAGCGAGGGAAACGTCTTTCTGAAATCTCTCTGCGCCACAAATCGAAGTCAAGGACGAGGAGCAAACCAACACGTCCTTCAACAAGTCATAAGAACTTATGCTAAACCCGCCAAGCCAAATCTACCTCAAATCACTTCCAGTGGAGACAGTGCATGAATAACAGATGTAGAGCAGCTACACGAACAAGGCCAAGAATATCAAAGCTCAGAGACATTGTGCCACAGTCAAAAACAAGGAGGGTGAAAGCCGATCCGCTTTTATCCTGGTCTTTGTTGCGAGGGGCTGCCATTGTTTGCATGGAGCTCCAACTCATCATGAAACCACAGACAACATTGTACATCTAAAGAAAGCAGATCATATGAAAACAGAGAACTCTAGAAGTGACTGGCTCGTCGTACTTTTCCCTTTTTCAAAGTGGAAAATCTGAGTTTACACCCATTAATGGAAGTGCCCATGAGTGCCTGTGTGTGTATGTATAAGCTGTAGTTGATTCATTAGTAAACATTGATCCACAGCAGAAAATCTCTGTGGTCTAGTGATGCAGCAGTTAAATGAATAATTATAAAGATCAATTGAAAATCTCCTAAACGTGTTTAAGAAATGCATTCTAAATATAGGAACCAAACTATTAGATCCATGACACAATGTTTGGAGAATAATTTTTTGTTACAATTACAACTGCAAGTCTTTCCATGTCTCTGATGTCTCTACCAGTTCTTCCACACCTAGTGATTGATTCCATGATTGGATGGAATTCATCAGCAAAAATATTCAAATTCTTCCACAAATTCTCAATTGAGTTTATATTTTAACTCAACCTAAGCTACTCTAACACACAAAAATGCTTTAAACTCAGCCACTGTTTATGTTCGGGGTCTTTGTGTTGCTGAGAAGTGAACCTCTGCCTCAGCCTTTGGTATGTTGGTCTATCACTGAATAAACAAATAAAAACCATTCCCTGTAATTAGAAGGCAATAAAATCTGAAGTTCAGGGAGTCTAATGTTTTTTTCAAACACACTCACTCAGAAATTCATTAGGTTGTGTCTCCTGGAGTAGGAATAACGCTGCTAAAACAGATTGATCCAACTCAAGAATAGCCCATTCTTATCCCCCACTCCTCATATTTGGCGGCTGTTTTGGTGATTTCTTAGAAGCAGTTTGTCAGCCTTCTCTCCATTTATTGTTCCTTGCACCCTCTCCTCCAATATGCCATAGAAAAAAACAGGGCAAATCCATCTCAGCTTTAATGTCACGAGAAATGATGAGGAGGCAGACATCAACACCCTGGAGTCCTCCAGAACTTGGAGTCTTATTACATTAGCCTCATGGCGGTAGATGATAATAACAGGGAACAAAGAGCAACCTTCCTTGGATCGCTACACAACGCTAGTCAGACCTTTCAACACAAGGCAGGGCCTTGGGAATGCCAACAAAATTACTCTTGAGCCTCTGTGGGTCACTATTTCAAAACTGAAAACATGAAGCTCTGTACTCAGACTTCTTTTGTGCACAATAAAAACAGTTATCTTGTTTGTAGTGAGCTTTTTCCTTCCCCTTTGGAGAATTATTCCGTCAGTAAACAGTCCTTCCACTTTCACACTCTTAAAGAAACTGAAAGAAACTGTGGTTACAAACTGTTAAAATGAGCTGAGAAATCTCATCATTTAAGGGCCAACCTTAGCTTTTGAAAATGGAGGCGTAGAGAGAAACTCTTTCTCTGGGTGGAAAACAGTGTGAAGATAGGCTAAACCACACTGATAACATTTACAACATGTTGGCTTTGCATGATAATGTCTTGACACTTATCCATTGGGGCTTTCCATTCTGTGAAGATAATGAGGCGCATCACTAGAGGCATATTCCCCACAATACATGAGATTGGATTTAATGAAGTCATGCCTATAAGCGCGCACCTCCTCACAATGTTACTGGCTCTTTCTCCTACTATAATCCTATAGACCGAGACGTACCAGTGGAATATGTCTCATCTTTGCTTTGTGTCACCATATGAGTGTTTGGCATGAAATTGTCTGGTTGGTTTAAATGGGAAATATGAAATCAGCTGAGATGCTTCAGCTGCAACAAAATCCAATTAAGTAAATGGAGCTTCCAGATATGTGAAATTTTGCTTTAAAACAATTGGTTTTGGAACAAAAACCATCAAACTGAGAATGCTTGGATACATTTCTTTCAAATATACTGAGTCAGTGGAAGCTATTAACTAAAATACATTGTTTCTCAGATTGAAAAAAAACTATGCAGACGTATCGCTACTCATTTCAAACAAATAAAAGAAAGAAGCTACAGTTGCAGACTGTCAGTTGCATTCCATGTTAAACTTATGATAATTGAGTCATTCAGTCCACCTTCTGACTACATGATTAGCCCTGCATGGTTAGAAAAAGCAGAGCAATCCATTATTGGCAATGGATTTGTGCCCATTAAGCCCAGCTCCTTCTCAAAATGGATTTTAGGTCTCCTTTTTCTTTTGTATCAATCTCAGTGTGTCCTACTGCCTCCCCCTCTCCTCTTCCAGCATCAGCTCAGGGCTAATTCAAAATCCCAGAGACAAAGGCTTCTTTCAGGCCTGCCAGTGTGGTCACAATGCCAGCCTCAGTGCCCAGGCTTTCTCCATTTGCCTACCACAACACACTCCTAGCACCCTTGTAAAGTGGCACTGGTGGGGGTGCCATTATCTCGAATACATGAGGTAATTTACACATCAGAACCTTTTATCCTACTAATTACTGTGGATTAAAGTCCATTGCAATACAGCACGGTGGTCATAAAGGGGACGTCATTGGCCATAAAGACACCAGTGAACCACCCTGTAAATCAGTAAATCGGAACTGCTCTGTATTTAAATCCACCATTAAGGTATTTGTAATAAATATCCTCAGGTGATGAATTTAATGTTTAAAATGTAACAAGAAAAAGAAAACATGTTTTGAGTAGATGGTTGGCTCAAGGCATGTTTTACACAGTGGGTCAATAGCATGGTAGAGCACATCGAGCTTCCATAATACTAACTTTCACCAACATGGAGAAGCAGCAGCTGACCTAATTATTGCTGTATTTAGAGCTTTTCAGAACTTAAGTCGTTGGCAGAAACATGCCATTTTTAAGTCTTTCCCTAATCTCTGTTAGAAGCATGCTGGCATCTGTTTCGAACATTGACTCAAAAAAACAGCAGTCGGTCTTGCAGATGTCTACGTACCAATGAGGTTTCTTCAGAAATTCACCAATTCCCTTATTGAGGACTTGACCTTAAAAATAGAGCACTAGGCACAAAATCTGCTGTGGAAGACCAGCTGGGTCTAACAATATTATGGAAAGATAATTAAACCGGAAAGAAAAACAGGAATCACAGTTAGTCCCATGGAGATGCACAAATCAACCAGATGGTGATTTTGGATGGTCAAATACATGTTTCAGACAATTAGTCAATAAAAAATAATGGCAAAAAACCCATACAGTATGTATATAGTTCAGTGAATGGAATGTTTGGTGTTTGACCCTGCTAATTACAGGTGGTTGTGTGTAATCCTTTGGAATGGTGCTGTATCTACTGCGAATTGCTAAAGATGGTTTGAAACGTCAAACCTGTCAACAATTTCTAAAATCCTTTTTAACAGTGATTGCTCTCTTTCTCTTATTTAGCTAAAATGAGCATCTGAAGGTCAAAAAGCTCAGAATTTGTCCACAATATTTTGATCAGTGCATCTAAGAGGAGAGCACAAAGTCAGAAGCAAAATTCAAGGTGATCCATGTAGCTTCATTGACGTGCTATAGAAACTAAAGATGATGAAACTTAAAACCAAATCACTCCAGGTGTCTGTTCCCTTTATAAAGCTAATCTCACCATAAAGTCTTCTACTCATAATCCCTTCATTATTATTCCAGTTTTTGACTTGGCTGCCAAGGGAACATAGATCTCATCATCAAAGAAACAAATCATGTCCATGGGCCTCCACGTAACCCTCTGTTCATCTCATTTCATCCTTTCATGTCCTCTTGTCTCAGCTGCTTCAAACACACCTGTCAATGTAATTCCAGCCTGTTCTAGTATCTTGCTAATATAATGTCATCACTTGTGGAATCACATTATGAAATTGCTGCACATGCATCACACATCTCCTGGCAAGGACACGCAGCCCACGCACCGAACTGGGCTGTTGTCTCTTCAAATAAGGTCAATTGGCTGTGAACGCATGTAAATAGCAGGAATGAAGAGGGCAGGCTTTGTCCAAAGTAGGGCAAGAATAATGGCTTTTTACATGATATTAGGATAAGCTTGCTGGAATGTGTGCCGAGAAATGGTTTGGATTGAGCCTCACACAAACACTGACATGTTTGTTTTATTTGAGATGAGAGTTATTTAATAAAGAAGCATGCCCAGGATGCAACAGCAAAAGCAACAGGCTGAGAACTATTTTCATGTATGAATCTGAACTAAGATAATTGGTCAATTATTAGTGTGGGATCCTGTCATCTCTTTGGAGTAGACATTTCCCATGGTCAATCAATCAATCAAGTTTATTTGTATAACACCTTTAAGCAACAAGGCAGTTCAAAGTGATTTACATCATAAAAACACAAACTGGCCCAGCTACTTTATTCAGTATTACTGCCACACCTCCCATGACAATAGGGTGGAGTAAAGAACATCAAGTTCAAAGATGAGGCGTTTCTGTAATTATTAGGTAATTAATGTTGTCAAAACATGTCAGAAGCAGATGAGAATTCATCTCTGCCATCAAAGACACAATAAAGTACCTGGACAGTTAACATATTTATACAACAGAGTTAATGCAGCAACATACAACCATCCTAGAGCATCCACTTAAATCGGCTACCATGGTAACGATGTGTACAAAAACATTTCAAATTGTTGCTATAGAGACCTCCTCTCCCCTCACTGTGTGGTGTTGGCTACATGATACACAATGCAATAATCCAGAATATTAAATATAAATAATTCATTACTCTTTAAAGCAAATACAGGGTGAACTGTACAATAGGGGCTTCGTATCACTCCTTACCTCTTTCATCTCCTGGGAGATGGCAACAAGGCGTTCATTCTCAGACTGGGTATTGGTCAGGATGTTGCGCGTCTGCCGCAGTTCGTTCTGCAGCTCCAGGACTCTCTGCTCATAATAGGCCTCCTTACACGCCGACTCCTGGATGAGAGACTCTTCCCGACTTTCCCCATCTGCTGCTACCTTCCTGTGGTTGGTGTAAGCTTGTCCAAAGGCCTAAATGTGCAGAAAATATTATTTTAGTCCCACAAAAATATTTGATACAAGGCGACTAAGAGAGTGTCACATTTTGGAATATAAGGATCAGGACTTGATGGAAGAAACATTTGCTTGTGCTTCACCCATTTTAACCTGACTCTGATCTCTTCTTTAGTGATTCACCTGGCCACTGTGGAGCAGAATCGCCACAGTCCCATCGCTCGGTGGAGATTATTATTTAGGGTCCATCTGGGCTGCATCAGAGTGTCTTACCCACCAAATCTCCTCCCACCCCCTTCCTTTGGCTGCAGGATCTCCAGCCTGTGCACTGCAGTGACCCCACAGATGGAAACGGGCAAACAGCAAAAGTAGAGCAAACAGACGAGTGCCTGAGTGATTGTGAAAGGACTGTTTTTAATGCACTTTAATACCTTAGAAGATCATAGCAAAACAGGAGAAGGTCACAAAATCAGATGAGGAGAGGATCAACTTTAGGAAGATTAAAAGAACATATGACATGAAGGTCTGGCCTCTAATTTTTCTCAGCATTAAAAGGCAACAAACTGTCATGAAAACGTTTTTTTTTTTTTTTGTCTTGTTGATACAACCTTAATGTGTTATTAGCCTGCAAGGCAGAAACGTCAAACCACTAAAAGAGACAGATCTTCATCACAGTGGAAAACTAGGGTAGGGCACGCACTGCTTTCTCAAACTAATCACCCGCCTGATAACAGATTTCATTTTCAATCCCGTAAACGTCATTGTTTGGGTGGAAATATTCTTTTTTATCTCTCCTCAGAGTGGGTGTGCAGACAGTAATCTAAAAATCACATGCAGAACATGACCTTATTTCCCTCTCTCTGTGACCAGCTATTACAATTGGCTGCTGGCATGTTCCTGCATTGTATGAATCCCAGTGATTGCTTCTAGAAAAGAAAAAAAATATATATTTATCAAACTGACCTACTTAGCAAAACCTGGACAGATTTGTGCATTTGTAAAACAGGAGATTGTGGAAAAGTTTTGCACAATACGACTAACCGATGGCTCCCAGTCATGCAGAAATTCAGATGGAACAGGGATCCCCTCAGTGTATTATATACCTGGTGGGCCACCAGGCTTTATTTGTGACCCCATCAGGTTAAGCATTACTTATTTATTTAAGTCTTTATAAAATGTTTGAATTTTTTAAGACTAATTTTCCAATGTTTCAATAACACATAATTATAAAGGGCTATTTTCAAATTTTATGTCAACTCTAAACATAGTTTAACTCCAAAACACAACTTGCCAATGGATGACTGACTGTCGAAATGCCCTACCAGCTTGTTTCACAAATTTTCAGGGAGAAACCTTATGGAAGAATAGATTAAATCTCTCTTAAGGTTCGTGGCATCTGCTAACAGCTCCTCATCAACACACCTTCCAGAGTTGAACCACAACTTATTAAATCATTGCCACAACTTGCTGAAAGGAGTTGAAAGGAGTGTGGGTGCTGAATAGTGTTCCAGTCAGCATGATCTTGCAACGTTTTCTTTATTTGCTCAGATGGTAGAAACAATCTTACAAATGAGATAAAATACAAAGATTAGTACAAAAAATAAATATAAACTTCTGTGGCAAACATCCAAACTCATCATCCTCTTTACAATGCAACATGAAAGACCATTGAAGATATTGTTTTCTATCATTCCTGCCTTCATGTTATCTCCTTAAGTCTTGATCTTGCAGCCACAATAAACTGCACAAACATTACAATATGTGGAATATATTTTCCTTTTTAAACTGCGTCTTACAGCTTTAGTGCTTCCTGTTTTATTTTATGAACACTTCACTGATGCTGAAATGTAACCAACTCAAATTTCTGTTTGCTCTGTAACAGCACCCACACTAATAGTGTTCCAGTCAGCTGGATCTTGCAGAAGGAGGAGGTTGCATCCGTTTATTAAAATCTTTAGTTTCTGACGGAAGACTGAAGAACCAGGAGAAATTCAACCATTATCCATCAACAGAAATTGTCTCTGTACATCAGTATAAACAATCTCCTACCTACGTGGTGGTGGTTGGTTGGTAAATACATAACCAGTAGTGGGGATTTTAAAGAAAGCCTGTGTAGGTCAACAGACAATTTGTGTGTTAAATTGTGCTTTATGGTGCGTGTCCCAAATTGTGCCACATGCCAAGGAAGGAAATCATACCAATAATCAGCAGGGGGCCGTGTTTGATTAAAATTTTATTAAACACACAGGAACCAATCAAACTCAGGGGAATCCCATCATTATAATCTGAAAACAGGCTTGGTTTCTGAGGGGACAATCAGTCAAATCTAAAGAGGGATATCACTGAGGCAAACAGAGTCCCCTGCCAAAACCCCACTGACCCACTGAATTTAATCTCAGTTTCCTACGGAGGCAAGAGTTTAGGCTACTTTTGAGGGAGGGAACATTGATTGCACGTAGCTAAGGCTGTAATCTCCCAGTGAGCGGCCAACTCAATTTATAATTCATCTTTAGCCGACCATATGTTGCAGTTGTGCTGGTTTTTATAAGCTACACTGTAATTCAAAAGCCAAAGTGCAGAACTGTAATGATCTTCGACCTCACGTGTCTGAGGAGGTTATTGTTTTGATTTGCTCATCTTTTTAGAATCATAACTTCCTCAAACAATCTTCACACATAAGAACTGAAGATCAATGTGTTGAAGTGAATCACAACAGACTGCTGCGTGGACCGATACAAACTATCAGAAGGAGGAAGTGTGCTGCTATTTTAATAATTTAGTTTTACAAGAAGTCTTCTTCATGTAAAGAAGTCTTAGTGTTTATTTATAGTGGGTTCAGTTTATATTTGTTTTACAGATATAAACTTGAAAACAAACACTGCAACTTAGCGAGAGATGCCATGAAAGACACATGGCTCAACATGGCGGGACTCGTGATGCTGCATGTCTTCTAACCTGAACAATGTTGCAACCTTCAAAGACAAATCCACTGATTCCAATGTTATTGAAACATTGGAAAATTAGTCTTAAAAAATTCAAACATTTTATAAAGACCTGTGTGTCCTGAATGGCAGGACACACAGGCTTTGCTAAACAAAAACATTTCTTCGTTTCAAAACTTTACATGGAAAAGGAACGCAACGCAGATGAAACACAGACCAAAGCAGTCACTGTTTGTTTTTCCAACACATAAGCCGTTTATGATTCACTTGACCTGTAAGGCAAGTACACAACGGGGGAGGGGAGATGTGGTGCATCAGGGTCTTGCAGGTGAAAAATAGATCAATACATCAGTGCTCAGAGGCACAATGGAGCTGAAATACACATACAGTATATCATCTTATTTAGTTTTTCAGTGTTCCTGGCTAAGATGGTGCTTTTGTAGGAGTGAAGGAAGCACAGAGGTCATAAAATACTGCTAGACTCTAGAAATAGGTAACACGAGTGAATCAGTATGAAAACACCTAAAACCCACTAATGGCACCTATGATATAATCTAGAGGGAAGCACTTCAAAATCTAAGAAATGGATCACAGCTGACTTCGATGCAATCACTGGATTACCGAGTATGACTGAGAATTTGCTGGCTGACAGACGTTGACATGCACAAATGTAATAAACTAACATTTTGGTAGCATCTGTCGTGGGGGCTGTTGCTGAACTGAGATTTTCGTCTCCTCAGCAGCATTCTTGGGCTCTGAGAGGCTGTAGCGAATGCTAAACAATGACACTGTGTGGTGTCGACAGGTTCTGTTACTCATATACAGAAGGCTGGAGAGCTGGGGTCAACTCCAGATGCCAAAGCAGTGATTCAGCAACCCTGAAGGCTGATCAGTGGAAGGGTTCTCATTGTATGCAACTGCAGAGGAAGTGAGGAGCAGCGAGGGACAAAAAACAGCAACTACACACACTGAATAGAATCTCCTGCCTCGTGAATCTCGCCTCACGTGGAGTCATAAACTGTGATGATAAATAGTCCTGCTCGCTTCCTTCCTCTTCCCTTTGGACTAAATTTGCAGGCCACTGCGCATCCAGTGAGTTTAACACAAATTGCTCCGAGCTGTGTGTTAATTCTATATTTAGCTGGCCATGTCTCTAGAGGGATGGAGTTCAAAAGTGACCAACATGATACAAGACTATACTAAACAGACTTTTTTTTTTGTCTGGGATTTAAAACCTTTTTTGGTGATCCACCAATCAGAATTTTAACTCCAATCTTCAGTTTTTGGTTAGGTTTTGACTTGCCAGTAGAGACTTTAGCTGATTACTATTCCTCTTTTTTTTTTTTTTAATAAGAAAATATTAATTCAGAATATTTTTTTCCACAATGAAGATAAAATGAAGAATTGACCTTTTAATTTATAATTAGGAGCTTAGCGTAACTAGCATTACTGCAGCACAAAAGAATTGCAGAAATATCCCAACATGTTGTAGGAAATTGATTCTTTATGAAAGTATTTCTTGTGACTTTATTATTCAACACAATGCTAAAGCTGAACATATTCAACACAAACAACATTATGAGATAAATACAAACAAAAGTATTTTTTGTGTGTTACTGCACCTCTTCGTGTTTATTTATGGTGGGTTCAGTGACAGTGACTGAAAAAAGTTTTTATTTTGGACTTTCCAACTGGCTGGTCAGGGTCAATCCAGCAGAAGATCAGTCACTTTTAGCCATTTTGGTGCATTCTCACTCTACATGTTATATCATGTATTAATAGTGAAAACATGTAAAACCTGTATCACAGTACAAGTTCTTTTGTTTTACAACACTGCTGTTTGTCTATCTTACACCCGTGGCATTTGCTATAATGAGTAACACAGCAGCTAATCATTTACTCTTCTGTAAATTGGGCAATGGGGGAGAAATTAAATACAGATTCACTTTCATCCTGAAGGTCATCTTTCCAGTGTCGTCTTGCAGCTTACTAGTGATCTCGTCTTTTGCTGCTTTAGCACGTTCCTATGGTCAGCACCAGCAAATCACAAAAACTGTGTCACAGCACAAAAACAGC